CCACACTTCTGTTCACCCTCCCTCCTTACCATCCTCCTTCTCCCTCGATATCCTCCCACCCGCTCGCCCTCACTTTCACCCACCTTCCTTCCCCTCCTTCCCCTCCTTCCTTCACTCCTTCTTTCTCCCCACCTGACATCTTTCCCCCTTAGAAAGTAATTTAGTATTGTTAATATTCATACCATTATTTCGTACAGTATGTAATAAATTTACCTTAATGGCTCCCTTAGTTTGTTTGTTTAGTCATGTGTACAGCACTTTATCTAACAATTGCCGTTATTATCACATTTTCTGTTATTATTATTCGTAATTATTGTTATTATTACTATTATTATTTATCCTGCTAGTGTTGACGTCTTGGCTGTTATTGTTGATATTGTTGATATTGTTGATATTGTTATTATTATTATTATTATTATTATTATTATTATTGTTATTATTATTATTATTATTATTATTATTATTATTATTATTATTATTATTATTGTAATTATTATTGTGATTATTATTATTATTATTATTATTATTATTATGTATATTATTATTGTGATTATTATTACTATTATCACCATCATCACACCACATACCACCATCATCATTAAATGGAGTTGTATTTCAAGGTTTAAAACATTCTGGTTCTCTCTCTATTTATGTAGAGGCAAGAAACATTTTAAACTGCATCAACAATGATTTGCTGATCTCCTGGGTATCTCTGGAAACGCGGTAAAAAGAATTTGCGAATGAGATGAATAATAATATATTGGATTTATTAGGAAGAGGAATGGAGAGAGAGAGAGAGTCCATCACTTCAAGCCTGACATTTTCACTAACTAATGATGCTTATTACCCAACCTGAATGAGCTTAACGAACATGCGATTATTAACTCGATGTATCAAGGTTAAAGACCAAGATAAACCACAACTAACGAGGGGGAGGGGAAGGTCATTAACGAGGACTAACGAGTCATGGGATCCCTAAATCTGGGTTCATTTACTGTTTAATTTTGGCGTTGAACTTGACGGGAAACTGACAGAAGATAAACCATATTAAACCAGGATTAATGGATCGAAAGGGGTAATTAGCGTCGAATAATGAGCCAATTGGGATAATTAACGTAGATTAATGAGTAATTAGCGTCGATTAATGAGTCGAGTGAGGAAATTAACGTCGATTAATGAATAATTGTTGATTAATGAGTCGAGTGGGGATAATTAGCGTCGCTTAATTAGTAGATAAGGATAATTAGCGTCGATTAATGAGTCGAGAGGGGTAATTAGCTTCGATTAATGAGTTAAGAGGAGAAAACAATGGGGTTGAGAGTTGTCTTTATCTTCCAATCATTCCTTCTTCTCACTCCTCCTCTCACTCTTTACTCTTCTCTCCTCATCTCCTCCTCTTTATCTGCCTCTGTAATATCTCATTTATCTCTCCTCTCTTCTTCTCCTACCCCTTCTCCCTTTCCATTTTTTCCTGTCTCTCTCTCTGCTCTCCTTCTCTCTTATCTCCCCTCTTCCCCTTCTTCCTTGTTCATCACATTAATTTCCTCTTTTCTATTCTAAAAAAAAATACCATTGAAAACACGACATCAAACACACATTGAAGAAATAAATGAATAAAACAGAGGAATAGAAAACAGAAAACTAAAGATAGGCCTAAAAAAATAAAAAACAAGTACACAAGTATTTTTCAGTATTTGATTTTGTTTGTGTTTTCATTTTTCTTTGCTTGTTTTTTGTTTTTTTTTACTCGTCAAATAAAAATCATGGGTGTTTTTCTTCCGCCATTTTATCAAAGTCGCATATTTTGACTGACTAATGTTTACACTACAGCTAATTCATGTTTGTGTGTGTGTGTGTGTGTGTGTGTGTGTGTGTGTGTGTGTGTGTGTGTGTGTGTGTGTGTGTGATAAACAAAAATAAGCAGATACATAGAAAGAAGAACTTGTGTCGTGTGAAGGAGAGTTGGTGTACACTATACCAACCACAACACACGGTGGGACAGAGAAGCAAACACAATTAAATTTGATGTGTTAGTGAGTGAGGCTTTGTGTAATACTGTTGTGTTTGGGACGGTGTGATTGGTCAGCAAAATGGACCAATGAACGATGGGTTTTTCCCCCCACCAGCGAGTTTACATTCATATAGTTAATTCCTTTAATGGACCAATGATTTGTTTTATATTTACGATTATGTGATCTGTCAGGAAAACGGACCAATGAACGAGGAGTCTCATTGTTGACTCTCATATTATTGGTCAGCAAAATTGCCCAATGAATGATGAGTCTGTTTCTGTTGACTCTCACCTGATTGGTTTAGGAAAATTGGCCAATGAGGTCTTTGTGTTTATATTCACCTGATTAGTTACAGTGAAGGAGACGAAACAGGCATCATTACAACGAAGTATATACATATTTCACTCACTCTTATAACGAAAGATGGATTCAATTTTCTCTCTCTCTCTCTCTCTCTCTCTCTCTCTCTCTCTCTCTCTCTCTCTCTCTCTCTCTTTCTCTCTCTCTTGTTTCCTCCAATCTTTCTCTTCCCCCTTTCCTTCTTTCAGTCGTTTTTCTCTCATTTTCTCACTCTCTCTCTCGTTCTAACTCTCTCTCTTCTTTCTCGCTCTAGCTCTCCCCTCCCTCTCCCTAGCTCTAACTTTCTCCTTCCCTCGCTCTAACTCCCCCTCTCCCTCCCTCGCTCTAATTCTCCACCCTCCCTCACCATAACTCTCCCTCTCCCTCGCTCTAAATCTCCCTACGCCCTCCCTCCCTCGCTTTAACTCTCTCCCTTCCTCTCCCTTGCCCTAACTCTCTACCTCGCTCTAATTTCCCTCTCTCTCCCTCGCTCTAACACCCTCCCTCCCTCCCTCCCTCGCTCTAACCCTCCCCCTCCCTCGCAGCTACTGATCAATACCGTGATCTACAGGCCATCGATCTCTCTATCTCTCTCTCGTAGCGTCATTTTCTGTCTCTGTCTCTCTCTCTCTCTCTCTCTCATTTTCTCCACTTCTCCCAATTCTCTCCCCTCCCCTCACTACCCCAACTCTCTCTTTCCCTCCAATCTCCTCACTCCACCAGCCCTCCCTCTCTCCCTCACTACACCAGTCCTCCCCTCTCTCCCCTCCCTACACCCAGCCCCCTCTCTCTCCCTCACTACACCAATCCCTCCCCCCTCTCTCCCCTCCCCCACCCGGCCTCTCTCTCCTTACTACACCAGCCCTCCCCTCTCTCCCCTCTTCCACATCAGCCCCCCTCTCTCCCTCCACTACACCAGCCCTCCCTCTCTCTCCCCTCCACTACTGACCTCCCTCTCCTCCCTCCACTCCACATCAGCCCTCCTCTCTCTCCCTCCTCCACCCCAGCCCCCTCTCTCTCCACTCACTCTACCAGCCCTCCCCACCAGCCTCCCTCTCTCTCCTCACCACCAGCCCTCCCTCTCCCTCACTACATCAGCCCTCCCTCTCTCTCCTCACTACATCAACCCTACCCTCACTACACCAGCACCCCCTCTCCCTCACTACCGCCTCCCCTCTCCCTCCCCCCTCCTGCACCAGCCCTCCCCCTCTCTCCCTCACTACACCAGCCCTCCCTCTCCCTCACTACACCAGCCTCCCCTCTCTCCTCACTACACCAGCCCTCCCTCTCCCTCCTCCACCAGCCCCCTCATTCTCCCACTCACACATCTGATCAGGGTGTTCTCAGTTACAATCTCTTCTCACAATTAACGGAGATTAAACGCTCAGACATACAAACTTCTTCAGAATTTATTGAGTCGGAAAGAAGTCGGAAAGTTGGTCGGTATATCGTTGGAAGTCGGAGGTCGGTTGAGAGTTGTAGTGAGAGACAGTGTTGGGTTAAGTTGTGTGTGTGTGAGAGAGAGAGAGAGAGAGAGAGAGAGAGAGAGAGAGAGAGAGTACAATCGGTTCATTATTGTGGTTTTTTCCCTCTGTTTTGGTGTTTTAAAATTAATTATACTTCTTGATCTCTGATTAATTATACTGTCGACTAATGGCCGCTGAGAGAATGCATTAATTACGAGGCAGTTAGACCGGAATTACCCCTTGTCGTTTAGGGTAATTATCCTTTGTAATGATAACTCGTTCCTAATTGGGTCTGTTTTTTTCTCGTCTTTAAATTGAGGCAACTAATCACCATCAGTTTTAATGAGGTCGTTTGGTTGTTTAGGTGTTGCTTGTGTGTTTGTTTAGGTGTTTGTGCGTTTGTGTGTTGTGTGGTTGTTTGTGTTTTTGTTCGTGTTGTTTGTGTGTGTTGTTTGTGTATTTGTGTGTTTGCTTCTGTGTTTATGCGCTGTTTGTATATTTGTGTGTTTGTTTGTTTGTTTTATTGTGTCTGTTGTATATACAGATCATGAGTGACAAACAAACGCATTGCAATTGTACTCAAGGAGGAGGTTAAGTCACCGTACTCAAGTTGGTTAATTCATTGTACTCACAGGGTTAAGTCACCGTACTCAAGTGGGTTAATTCATTGTACTCACAGGGTTAAGTCACCCTACTCAAGTTGGTTAATTCATTGTACTCACAGGGTTAAGTCACCGTACTCAAGTGGGTTAATTCATTGTACTCACAGGGTTAAGTCACCCTACTCAAGTGGGCTAATTCATTGTACTCATTGGGTTAAGTCACCGTACTCAAGTGGGTCAATTCATAGTACTCACAGGGTTGGGTGTAAACGGGACTGCCCAGTATGGGCCAATAGGCTCTCTGCAGTTTCCTCCATTCTTATGTTCTTATGTACTCAAGTGGGCTAATTCATTGTACTCACAGGGTTAAGTCACCGTACTCAAGTGGGTTAATTCATTGTACTCACAGGGTTAAGTCACCGTACTCAAGTGGGTTAATTCATAGTACTCACAGGGTTAAGTTACTTTACTCGAGTGGGTTGAGTCGTCGTACTCAAAGGTTCACCTGTGTTTGTTGTCACCCTCATAATTAGCATCACCTTTGTTCTCACAAGAATAACTCTTATTTGTGTGTCTTGCAGGTGGCGTTGACGAGGACACCTGGTGGCCGCTATGATGAACCACGCAAGGTGAGTGACCTTTTACTCTACTGTAGGAGAGAGAGAGAGAGAGAGAGAGAGAGAGAGAGAGAGACTGTGTGGAATTAACGTGAGCTGGTTGAAGGAGTGTTCCCAACTTACTAATGGCTAATGCTGTAATATTAATACGCCTTGGGTGACAGGCAGTGTCAGCTCTTCTTCATTAGTACTTCGTCAGTAGCTCTCCGTCAGTAACACATCGTCAGTAGCCCTTCCTCAGTAGCGCTTCGTCAGTAGCTCTTCGTCAGTAACACTTCGTTAGTAGCCCTTCCTCAGTAACACATCGTCAGTAGCCCTTCGTCAGTAGCTCTTCGTCAGTAACACATCGTCAGTAGCCCTTCGTCAGTAGCTCTTCGTCAGTAACACATCAGTAGCCCTCGTCAGTAGCTCTTCGTCAGTAACACATCGTCAGTAGCCCTCGTCAGTAACACATCGTCAGTAGCCCTTCGTCGCAGCTCTTCGTCAGTAACACATCGTCAGTAGCCTTCGTCAGTAGCTCATCGTCAGTAACACTTCGTCGCAGCTCCTTCGTCAGTAGCCTTCGTCAGTAACACATCGTCAGTAGCCCTTCGTCGCGTAGCTCTTCGTCAGTAACACATCGTCGGGTAGCTCTTCGTCAGTAACATCGTCAGTAGCCTTCGTCAGTAGCTCTTCGTCAGTAACGCATCGTCAGTAGCCCTTGTCAGTAGCACTTCGTCAGTAAATACACGTCAGTAGCCCTTCGTCAGTAGCTCTTCGTCAGTAGCCCTTCGTCAGCAGCCCTTCGTCAGCAAACATATCGTCAGTAGCCCCTTCGTCAGTAGCTCTTCGTCAGTAACACACGTCAGTAGCCCTCGTCGCAGTTTTCGTCAGTAGCCTTTCGTCAGTAGCCCTTCGTCAGTAGCCCTTCGTCAGTAACACATCGTCAGTAGCCCTTCGTCAGTAGCTCTTCGTCAGTAACACATCGTCAGTAGCCCTTCGTCAGTAGCTCTTCGTCAGTAACACATCGTCAGTAGCACTTCGTCAGTAGCTCTTCGTCAGTAACACATCGTCAGTAGCCCTTCGTCAGTAGCTCTTCGTCAGTAACACATCGTCAGTAGTCCTTCGTCAGTAGCTCTTCGTCAGGAACACTTCATCAGTAACCGAGACGCCTCAGGCAAGTCAAGAAGCATCTCACTAATTATCATCACGTCAGCTGGTGAGGGGCAGGTGAGGGAAGAGGAGGAGAGAGACAAGGTGAGGGAAGAGGAGGAGAGAGACAAGGTGAGGGAAGAGGAGGAGAGAGACAAGGTGAGGTGTTGAGGAGGAGAGAGACAAGGTGAGGGAAGAGGAGGAGAGACAAGGTGAGGGAAGAGGAGGAGAGAGACAAGGTGAGGGAAGAGGAGAGAGAGACAAGGTGAGGGAAGAGGAGTGAGAGAGACAAGGCGAGGAAGAGGGAGGAGAGACAAGGTGAGGGAAGAGGAGAAGAGAGACAAGGTGAGGGAAGAGGAGGTGAGAGACAGAGGGAAGAGGAGGAGAGAGACAAGGTGAGGGAAGAGGAGGAGAGAGACAAGTGAGGGAAGAGGAGGAGAGAGACAAGGTGAGGGGAAGAGGAGGAGAGAGACAAGGTGAGGGAAGAGGAGGAGAGAGACAAGGTGAGGGAAGAGGAGGAGAGAGACAAGGTGAGGGGAAGAGGAGAGAGAGACAAGGTGAGGGAAGAGGGAGGAGAGACAAGGTGAGGGAAGAGGAGGAGAGAGACAAGGTGAGGGGAAGTGAGGAGAGAGACAAGGTGAGGGAAGAGGAGAGAGAGGGAAGGTGAGGGAAGAGGAGGAGAGAGGGAAGGTGAGGGAAGAGGAGGAGAGAGACAAGGTAAGGGAAGAGGAGGAGAGGGAAGGTGAGGGAAGAGGAGGAGAGAGACAAGGTGAGGGGAAGAGGAGGAGAGAGGGAAGGTGGAGGGAAGAGGAGGAGAGAGGGAAGGTGAGAGTAGTGAGTGAGAGAGGGAAGGAGGGAAGAGAGGAGAGAGACAAGGTAAGGAAGAGGAGGAGAGAGGGAAGGTGAGGGAAGAGGGAGGAGAGAGGGAAGGAGAGAAGAGGAGGAGAGAGGGAAGGTGAGGGAAGAGGAGGAGAGAGGGAAGGTGAGGGAAGAGGAGGAGAGAGGGAAGGTGAGGGAAGAGGAGGAGAGAGGGAAGGTGAGGGAAGAGGAGGAGAGAGACAAGGTGAGAGAAGAGGAGGAGAGAGGAAGAGGGGGAGATATGACGGAGGAAGAGAAGGAGGAGAATGAGGAGGATTAGGAGGCGGACAGGGGGAGATATGATGGAGGAAGAGGAAGATTAGAAGATATAAAGGAGAAAGAGGAAGAAAAAGAGAAGAAGAAGAAGGTTAAGAGCAATCTAGGTATGAGGAAAGGTCAGGGGGTAGAGAGGTCAGGTTGAATAGAGGTCAGGGGATAGAGAGGTCAGGGGATAGAGAGGTCAGGCGATAGAGAGGTCAAGGGAGAGAGAGTTAAGGATGAGACAGATCAAGGGGAGGAGGCTAGGGGGTCAAAGGTCACACAGCACCTTACACTTGAGAACGACACAGTTAATGACCCTTAATGTCTCACTTAAGCTTCTCTCTTTCTCTCTCTTTCTCTCTATATTATCTCTCTCTCTCTCTCTCTCTCTCTCTCTCTCTCTCTCTCTCTCTCTTTCATTTGTTCCCTCTCACTCACTCACTCACTCTCCCCTCTGCTCACCTTCCTCTCTCTGCCACGTCCCTGTCTGCCTCATTTCTTCTCTCTGTTTCAATGTCTTCCCCGACCACTAATGACTTCCACCTCACCCTGATGATTCTCTCACAAGTGCAAGGAGTCGTTTAGGACCTGACCTGACCTGACCTAACCTAACCTAACCTAACCTGACCTGACCTAACCTAACCTAACCTAACCTGACCTAACCTAACCTAACCTGACCTAACCTGACCTAACCTAACCTGACCTGACCTAACCTAACCTAACCTAACCTAACCTAACCTAACCTAACCTAACGATGATAAGGCAAGACTTTAATTAGATAACAAATGAGAGAAGCGCCGTAAAGGATGTTCTCAAGGGAGGTTAGGTTAGGTTAGGTTAGGTTAGGTTAGGAGAATAGTTAGTTATTTAACCCACTTAGATTTACAATAAGTGTAACAACAAACAAGATGGCGTCCTTATTTTACCAAGACAAGACCATGTTGATACTAGTACGACAACAACTACCGCCAGTATTACCACTACCACAACCACCATTACTACCACTATCAAGATTACCACAACCACCACTACCACAACTACCACCACTACCACAAGCACAACCCCCACTGCTACCACTACCACTACTACCACCACTCCCATAACCACCACTACCACAAATACTACCACTATCACAACCACCATTACTACCACTATCAAGACTACCACAACCACCACTACCACAACTACCACCACTACCACAAGCACAACCCCCACTGCTACCACTACCACAACTACCACCACTACCACAACCACTACAACCACTACCACAAGCACCACTACTATCACTACTACAACTACCACCACTACAACCACCATACACGGTAAACGCAATAATACGACTAATTGACTTGCTTATCTGTCTGCCTGTCTGTCTTTCTCTCTCAAGATCAATAAAGAGAGAGAGAGAGAGAGAGATAGATAGAGAGAGAGAGAGAGAGAGAGAGAGAGAGAGAGAGAATACAACACTGCAGGCAGGTAAGATCACGTGATTCCTCTCTCCTTCATTAAATTTTCGTAAGGATATATTATTCAGATTTATTCACCCATCTCCACCCACTCATTAAAACAGGTGGGTGGGTAAGGAGTAGCCGCCCACTCCGCCCACTTGGACTCTACTACAATAAGTGGTCATATTTACTCACTTAGCCAGACACACGTCACCCCTCCCCCGCCTTACCACACCCTCTCTTTCCCCCTCCCCGCGGCTTACTCTCTCACGTGGAATAACACGCCCGCTCCACACGCCCACTACGTCCCGCACGCCCGTCCGCTCACATACAAGACTGTTTCAACACTCAACCTCGTTTTTAAGACTTTAGTTGTTGTAACACCACCACGCCCATGAAAGATCTCACACCTCCACACGCTCATTAGATCTTGTACGCCCACGACCTTACCTGGACTTGTTCACCCATGTGTTTACCTGACGATGAATAATGTTTTCAGGGTGAGACGACTTTCTTTCTTTTTGGTCTCCACACAAACACCTGTTGACCGTAATTATGAGAGAGAGAGAGAGAGAGAGAGAGAGAGAGAGAGAGAGAGAGAGAGAGAGAGAGAGAGAGAGAGAGAGACTGGAATAAGGGGCCCACCTGTGGTGACCTTCCACGACCAACAGGTGATTAATGACCTCTACCCTAAACGTGTGCTATCACCTGTTGTTGTCAGCTGTCGACATGCCACCTTGACCACGCCACCTCGACCACCCGACCACGCTCGACCACGCCACCTCAACCACACCACCTCGACCACGCCACCTCGACCACGCCACCCGACCACGCCACCTCAACTACGCCACCTCGACCACGCCACCTAACTACGCGCCCTAGACCACGCCACCTGACCACGCCACCTCGACCACGCCACGCCTAGAAAGACCCATATAGCTCCCAGGGGGGGCCGAAGGCTGGCTGAGGGCAGAGAGGAGGCCAGGGAAGAAGGGAGAGGAGACCAGGGGAGAGGCAGAGCGGAGGCCAGGGGAGAAGGGAGAGGAGACCAGGGGAGAGAGGGCAGAGCGGAGGCCAGGGTAGAAGGGAGGCTAGGGGAGAGAGGGTAGAGAGGAGGCCAGGGTAGAAGGGAGGCCAGGGGAGAGAGGAGGCCAGGGGAGAGAGGAGGCCAGGGGAGAGAGGAGGCTAGGGGAGAGGGGGGCCCGGTAGAGAAAGGAGAGGAATGTGGAGGAGAGAAGGAATGGAGTACTAGGTGGGAGGGTAAGATGAGAAGGGATAGAGAGAGAGAGAGAGAAGGGGAGAGGGGGAGAAGAC